CCCGCTTTCCTAGTGAAACGCTTCAGCAAACAGTTGTAAACATTACACAAAACTGATGTTTTTGAAAAACAAGCAAACCACACAGAGAAATACGATTTTCACGACATTGTACAACATTTTCACTGGCTGATGAACGTTTTGATTCGATGGTCAATACTGATCCCATTCTGTACTCGTCCTATTGTTAAAAGGCACAGGTTGGTTAGGAAAGGAAAGGAAAGATGGGAACTTTCCACTTTTCACCCTCCCTCTGACTCTCACGATAGAGGTTAAGAATTTCATTTCTGCCTCTTAGTTGCTTCTTTTATACTCCTTACCTCATTAAACATTTACGAGAAAATGTCCAAACTGCTATGTCTAGAGAATCAGGAAGAACTACAAAAAAATAAAAAATAAAAATAAAAATCGGGTGTCTGTATGAAATCCAGAAACTCTGGGCTATCTCTTAAGTGGTCCTCCTAGTGTTGTTGCTCAAGGCAGGAGGAGTCTCATGATGAAGGGGGGGCAGTTTTTGTCAATTTCCCCCTCCACCTGCAGTACCCAGCCTCCTTTCCCCACCGAAAGGCAGTGCTTTTTTTCTGGAAGTACTCAAAGGTACGCAGTACCAACACCTCTCCTTTTCTTTTTTTTCCCCTAGAAGAAAAGCACAAATTAAAAGTGTAGCACTTACTGTAATAATTGCATGGTGAGTACCAGCACCGTTTGTTTTGTTTTTTTCTAATAGAAAAGCACTTCAGATGAGGATAAGAAAATCAGCCAATTTTGGTTTCTCATTTTTTCCAATATTCAGTTCTCTTCTCCAACTTTCCACATCAGTCGGGGGGGGGGGGACTTGGGATGGGGTCTCTCTCCAGCATTCTAATGCAAATTTGATATGACATATATTTGCATTTTTGCTGTTTTGCATGTCTTTTGACCCATACATGCATTTTGATGCACACTCTGCCCTGGTATATACATGTTTTGTACACGATATTGGCTGGAAATGGCAAAATTAAGAGACGTGTCAATCCCAAAGGATTTGTTGCGTTTCAGCTTGTGTATCAATTTGGTAATTTCAAATTAGGTTGCTTTGTCCTTTAAATGAGAACTGATTCCAAGGTCTGCCCCATCCTTCCTCCAACCCCCTGGAAGTGATTTTCAAAAAAAAGTAACTTTTCTCCTCCAGCAGAAACCTCCTGCTGAACCAATCGCTCTAGGAAGACCAAATGAATTCCGCCCTCTGCTTTGGGCATAAGAACCTCACATAAAGGGCATGCAAGTAGCACTTCCCTAATTCCTGCCACAAGGAGAAAAACCCATTGTGGAAGCCAACTCACACCATTTCAGACACCTCCGCCATCTTCTCCCCTGGATGAAGCTCAGAGGGAACCTCTGTTTCCCATTTGCAGAAGAAGCTTTAATTTGCAGAGCCAAAATGTTGGCCTGTCATGAAAATCACTTCTGCCCTGCTTAGTACACAGGGCTGATTGGCCGGCCCTTGGGACAATCACAAAGCCGCTTCGACTCTTATTGGAGCAAGACTGAGTGCAGTAGAGGGGTGGGCCCTCACCTCTTCTCAGAGAATATATATATTTGGAAATGACTCCTCAAAGCGGAAGCAGAAGCCCCTTTCCATGCCCAAGGCTCCCTGTGAGCATACGTCCATCGGAAACGGCTTTCTTCGTCTTATTTTTACATTTATACCCCACCTTTCCTTCAAGGAGCTCAACAAGGTGGCAAACATCATTCTCCTCCTCCCTGTTTAATCCCCACAACCCTGTGAGGTAGACTGGGCCGAGAGTAAGTGACTGGACCGAGGTCACCCAGGGGGCATAGCTGTCAACTTACAGATTTGAAAATAAAGGACCAGCAGCCTCGAAAATAAGGGATCAGAAGCCAAAATAAGGGATTTCCCCAGCACAGGTATGTTCAGCTTCTGAGCCCCTCTGAGCCAAAGGCAGAAAGCCCAGCCAGGAGCCAAACAAAGCCTCAAGCGGTGGTTCCCACAGCGCAGCAACCCGGCAAAGGGGATGCAGCAAGGGAAACCACCGTCACCTCTCTGCTGGGAAGCGCTGAGCAAAGGCGAGTCCCCAGGCAACGCGGCCGATTTGATCGGCACAAGGCATGCAAGCTCCACCCCCCAGTCGTTCTTAGACTCCTTATTGGGTGAGCAACGCAGCCAAGCAACACAGTTGGAGCCTCCCCTCCAGGACAGCAGGGAGGGAGGGAGAGGAGCTGCTTCCTTTGAAACCCGGGAAATTTAAGGGACATCATCAATAAGGGACAGCAGCGGGACACAGCGCTGGGATAAGGGACTTTCCCACCAAATAAGGGACGGTTGACAGCTATGCCAGGGGGATTCATGGCTGAGTGGGGATTTGAACCCTGGCTACCCAGGTCCTAGCCCAACCCTCTAACCACTACACCACAGTGGCTGTCAGCGAGACTGATGGGTCCACCTAGCTCAATACACAGCAGACAGGGAATTTAATTTCTGCCTGAGGGACACTGGAGAGCTCATGCCAGCTGTGGCTGTGGCCACAGACAAAAGTGGGTGGAACAACAGGTGCAGCTCTGATCTTTGCATTGTAGGCTACCATCCCAGTTACATAAAGGTAAAGGGACCCCTGACCATTAGGTCCAGTCGTAGCCGACTCTGGGGTTGCGGCGCTCATCTCGCTTTACTGGCCGAGGGAGCCGGCGTACAGCTTCCGGGTCATGTGGCCAGCAGGACTAAGCCGCTTCTGGCGAACCAGAGCAGCGCACGGAAACGCTGTTTACCTTCCCGCCGGAGTGGTACCTATTTATCTTCTTGCACTCTGACGTGCTTTCAAACTGCTAGGTTGGCAGGAGCAGGGACCGAGCAACGGGAGCTCACCCCGTTGCAGGGATTCGAACCGCCGACCTTCTGATCGGCAAGTCCTAGGCTCTGTGGTTTAACCCACAGCGCCACCCACGTCCCCCCAGTTACATAACCTTCAGCTATTTCGACACCCACCCACACAAAAAAGCCAGCAAGCAGGTTTTCCGCTACTAGTCTACTTTGACTGACATTGGCTCCCCAAGGAGTCTTTCCCTAGCCCTGCCTAGAGATGCCAACGAGGACTGAACCTGGGACGTTCTGCATTCTCCTCCCTCTGTCACTTGGCCATAGAATCAGGGCAATTTGCAAACCTCAAAAACAACGACTGATAATTGTTCAGCTGAGCCGCAGGTCCCTGATCACATCTCATAATCTTGGAAGCACACGAAACAGCACTGCAAGCACGTGAGCTCTGGACCTGGACCCGAGAAGGATACGGACAACCATGTATATGATAATGTACATTAATAAGCAAACAACAACAACAAAGAGAGGGTCGTGGTTGTTTAGTTAAATGCTCCAACTTCCAGGGTCATCAAGGAAAGTGGAAGTCCATATGTTAACACGAGTGTTACAGCAGTCTCTGCTTTGATCTAAACTAGGGGTTGTCAACCTGGTCCCTAACACCCACTAGTGGGCGTTTCAGGATTCTAGGAAGGCGGTAGGAGGTTCTATGGCACAAGCTGAATTCTCCTTCCATTGAGCACTTGTGGGCAGTAAGGAAATTTCACCACCAAGAAAGATGAATTAGTGGACAGTAGGTATATAAAATTGATGCTTTTGAACTATGGTGCTGGAAGAGACTCTTGAGAGTCCCATGGACTGCAAGAAGAACAAACCTATCCATTCTTAAGGAAATCAGCCCTGAGTGCTCACTGGAAGGACAGATCGTGAAGATGAGGCTCCAATACTTTGACCACCTCATGAGAAGAGAAGACTCCCTGGAAAAGACCCTGATGTTGGGAAAGATGGAGGGCACAAGGAGAAGGGGACGACAGAGGACGAGATGGTTGGACAGTGTTCTCGAAGCTACCAGCATGAGTTTGACCAAACTGCGGGAGACAGTGCAAGACAGAAGTGCCTGGCGTGCTCTGGTCCAGGGGGTCACGAAGGACACGACTAAACGACTAAATAACAACAAGGTATAAAAAGGTTGACTACCCCTGGTCTAAACAGACCAACTGCCAAACCCTAACCAGTTTCATTGCTGAGAAACCTTCGGATATGAATGATAAAAGCCAGAATTGGTTTGCTTTTAATGAAATGAAGCTGAGATCTGATTCGGGACCCAAATCATTTCGTAAGGTTTAAGGCAAATGGTGCGTTTTGTTACAGCAGCTGGCCGTGGCAAAACGAAACCAGAGCAGATGCCACACCTGCAACAAGAATCTTCCCCACATCAGATCCAGTTCTGTTCAGATGGGAGAGAGCCAGCTCTGCTTATGCCAAATTGTATCTTATAAGCCACAGAAATGGCCCCGCTCAGCATCCTTACCTGAATAGGAAGCTCTAGCCAGACGTCAGCAGTCACGGACTCAGGGTCAACAACTTAGAGCGACACGATTCTCAAGATGGAAACAGAACTCATTCCTCTCTCTCTCTCTCTCTCTCTCTCTCTCTAGATGGAAACAGAACTCATTCCTCTCTCTCTCTCTCCCCCTCTCTCTCTGACTACCATCCTTGCAATCTGTAGATAGGACTTCTGGCTTCAGTACGTGTATTTTCAGATAAGTGGCTTAACTCCTTTAATCCTTACATGCGTACACATAGGAAGATACAGGCCAGACAGACTCAACTGACTACGAACCTATGAATTACTCTCCCTGCATCCTGGTATGCACGAGGGTCAGGCCTGAGGCCAAGTTCTTATTAAAATAAATAAAAATAAAGGTTAACAGTTATTGCTTAAGAAAACCGAAAAAAGTCAGCTTGCATTATTTTACCTTTTTGTGTGTGGCTCAAATTACGGCATGCAACTCTGTGTTAAAACCACAGCTTGGTTAAACCGATCAGTGAGTTTAAAGCAGTGGTACCCAAATTAAGTGGTCCCTCTAAGTTCCATAAACTCATCCTCAGTGCCCTTTACATTATAAAAAGGGTGTAGGGTTTGCACGACCCACTGAGGAGGATAATAACACAACAAAACTCAAAACAGTAACAACTAATTGCACATTTGTTCCAAATCCAGTTAAAACAATGACTATCAGATTTGAAAGGCTGGAATCTCTGGATCACCGGTTTTGTTGAACTAAATTAAACTAGATTCAACAAAACTGTTACACATCCAGCCAAAAATTATATATCCAGCAACCCCCCCATGCCTCTTAGCAACCCCCTAAGTAATTCCATTGACACCCCCCCCATGGGGCAGTGTCACCCAATTTGGGAACCACTGGTTTAAAGGGACAGCCTCTGCCTTTCACGTGTATGTTGTTCCAGTGGAAGTTTAGCAGGAAGAGAAAGATTGAGTGACCACACACAGCTAATTCTCAGAAACACTAATATTTATGGCCAACTCCCTAGCAAAGACACAGAGACCAATTAAGCAATTATATGGGGCTATGCATCAGGTACAGATACTATAGGCACAATGCCATTTGCTTAAAAAAAAGAGGATTTTTGAATTGCGTTCTTCATATTTACTATAGTTAGCAATGTAATAGGAGCTCTGCTGCATCAGATCAACTATCTTGACTTGAAACCACTGATAGATCTACCATTCTCTGTGGACTTGACTAATCCCCTTTTAAACCAATCCAAGTTAGCAGTTGTCACAGTTAATGATGAGAGATTCAGGAGCCGCCACAGCAAAGGCTCTTAAAAATAATTTCATCGTGAAGAAAAGGAAGGGGGAGCCCTCTAAGCCAGGCTGAGAATCTTGCCCTGCTCTTCCTGAAATATGAGCCACATGTTTTTAGGCACAGAAAATACCTCTTTAACCTAGCCAAAAAAAAAAAAAAAAGTTTTAACAGCCAATTCAGAGAGTTACACTTTTGATCTTAGAAAAAGGTGTCTCTGTACATTTTCAGGACTGGCATGCACTGATTCGGCCACAGAGGGCGAGGAAGAGACACATTTGTTGTCAACGGCACACAATTTTTGCCACAACTCAACTCATTTCCAAGGAATGCCCCCTCCCCAAAAATTACCATTTATTATATTACTTTACAAAATAGCACAGATCAGGCTGGAAAAAACCAAAAAGCAGGTTCAAAAAAGTCCAGATATTTAAGAAACAAGATATAAAAAGTGGATTGAGGCTTTAAAAAAGGTTTTGAGACACACACGCACACAAAGAAACTGGGAGGTAGACAGAGATTTTTGAGGATAAAAAACAGGTTTTTTTGAGGCGTTCAGCCATTATAAATGTCCAAGGCGACCCAACCACTGCTGAGCACCCATTATGCAGATCCAGAACGTCCATTTCTCATGTGTATGGAAGACTCATCAGTGCACTTTGGGTCTTTTATAGTCATTCAAGTGCTTCTTGCTGTCATTTCTACTGCTCCCCCTGCCCATTCATTTCTTAGCAATGAGGCTCAACGGGAAGTGCCCTAATATTTCTTCTGTCCGCCGATTTCAGGTGGGAACATCTGGATGTTCGATACTGGGAAAGTACTATAAAATTGTGGGTATCGGAGTGGGGGAGGCGTGCTCTTTCGGGGCGTATTTTGCAAAGAAGGGCAGAAAGACAGAGAGCATGACACCCACGATTGCCAGCATGTAGCCCCATCCGATCTGGCAGTCGCCAGCATAGTAGATGCTTGAATTTTCGCAGTGCCTCTGCACGGCAGTGGAACCGAGACCGAAGGGGTAGACAAGGAGCCCAAATCCCATGATGAAGACTAGCAGGAGAGAAGGCAGAAAAGGAGAAGATGGCATTAGTATATATATATAGTAATACACACACACACACTGTGATAGGAATTTTATGGTCTTAGATATATGGTAATGTTCATAACTGCACATACATAGATCAACACAGGAAGACCAACCTGGAACCATTTTGATTCCTAAACTGACCAAATCCTTTCTCTGCAAGGTTAAACTGGAAAAGCCTCCCCATTGTCTCTTTCCTCACAAATCCTGTCTCAAGGATATGTCTGTTTGAATAAGGTGTGAGCCTGTGACCTGGCCCAGGAAATAAGTATTTTACCACTACAAAAGAATGGCCAGGCTCCCCAGGCAATCCAATCAAGTAACTTGCCAGACAGGAGATAAACTGTGACAGGAGAAAAACAACATTTAAATTTCTGTGATGTAGGTGGGATGTATCTGAGGGGTGGTCTTAGATTACACCCCTTCTGTGATGTATGCATAATGTTTCTGGGGGTGGTCTTGATCTAGAGAATGGGAATTTCAAAAGTCTTTATAAGGTCTTGCACACCTTGGTTCTGGGTCCTCTTCCTCTCCTGCGTGTGAGGGGAGTACCCTGTTGCAACAGATCAATAAAGATCAAGCTTACTAGCTGCTTTGCTTCTCAATATTCTCTGGTTGGCCTCTGTTATTTTCTCCTACCAATAGGGAACCTATGTAAGGACTCCGTATGGGCTCTTGGATACCCCATAAGGGAAAAGGGCATATTTTTTATTTACAACAACAACAACACACACACACACACACACACACACTTCTAGTGTTGTGTCAACATTTTCACTTGTGTTTCTGCACCCAATTTTTAGCAATTCTGCGCAATCTATCCTTGACAACAGTGTTCTCCTATCCACAGAAATGCCTTTACGGTTTTTTTTGTTTGGCAGTGTGGGAATATTAGAATTAGATTTGTCCAAACATCAAATAAGCTAATAAGCGGCTGTCAGCTTTAATGCCCACCTCGAGCAAGTAGGAAAATAAACCCATTAAGCTCCCATTGCACGAACCGCGGCTTTCTCCTGTCACTGAGCCCCAGAACACTCAATAAACCGTTGTTGGTGGTGGAAGCCATGTTTTCAGACACACTTACTAATGACCGCTTAATAGTGCTGTCCGTCAGCGGAGTCACACGCCAGGGGAGTCCACAAAATTAACAGGGATCCCTTAATGGGGATCTTGTTAAGAGCAGCTGTGTGGACCACTCATTGCTCAACTTAAGTTCCAGAATGATGCTGAAAGGAGAAGAAGCTTCCAAATGTAATTATCAGTTGCCCTCTGATTGTGACTGCTAACATACAGAAGCAAATTTTGCATCCTTTGCTTTGCCCACTGCCAGCACGAGGCCCTCAGAAGTTCCCCCAGCCCTGTTGCAGGCTCAATTTGCAGAGTCAAAAGGAAGGACATTTTCCACCTCTCTCTCATAATAGTAAAGGTACAGGGACCCCTGACCATTAGGTCCAGTCGTGGCCGACTCTGGGGTTGCGGCGCTCATCTCACTTTACTGGCCGAGGGAGCCAGCGTACAGCTTCCGGGTCATGTGGCCAGCATGACTAAGCCGCTTCTGGCGAACCAGAGCAGCATACGGAAACACTGTTTACCTTCCCGCTGGAATGGTACCTATTTATCTACTTGCACTTTGACATGCTTTTGAACTGCTAGGTTGGCAGGAGCAGGGACCGAGCAATGGGAGCTCACCCCATGGCGGGGATTTGAAACGCCAACCTTCTGATCGGCAAGTCCTAGGCTCAGTGGTTTAACCCACAGCACCACCCGCGTCCCTCTCTCTCATAATACTAGATACTAAATTGAGGGGTGGAGTGAAACTGATATGTGGAGAGCTTGCAGCATTAAGAGGCAACGCGATGGCAGTTTATAAAATGATTCCTGGCATGAAGAAAGTGGACAGAGGAAAACTTTTCTCCCTCTGTCATAACACTGGGAGTCGTGGGCCTCCAGCGAAGCTGGACATTCAGGAGAGATAGAAGGAAGAACTTCTTCCTGCAGCGCAGAGTTAAACTATGGAACTCTCTCCCACCAGACGCTTTGAAAGAGGATTAGGCAAACTCATTGATCAGGCTACCAGTCACGATGGCTATGCTCTCCTTTCGTTGTCAGGGGCAGTATACGCTTGTGGGCTTCCCTTTGGGTTCCTGGTTGTCCCCTGTAAGAACAGGATGCTGAGCCAAATCCCCAGGCCTCATCCAGCAGCCAGGCTCTTCTTTTACATTCTGAGGAGCCCGGAGTGGCAGAAGTGGACGAGTGAAGGTCACAGGCAAGGATGCGGCAGGTGAGGGGCAATCCGATAAATGGCGGTGCGCTCCTTTGCCGGACACCTCTCACCCTCCGCCAAAACATCCCTCTGACCCCGCAAAAGTTAACGGCTCACCTCGGTTAGGGCAGTTTTGCGACCTCCCGCAGTTGCCCGGCTCAGGCCATTCATTATTTTGCTGCACTGCACTCCACACTCCTTCCCGCCCTGACACCAGTAACCCATTAAGAATCCCTCACTCAGAGTCCTTCGCCAGAAAAGTCATTGTCAGCTAGCGAGATGGTTTATGGCTGAGACCACAAGCATCAATTTAACAGAAGGTCACCTTTTATTTCTGCTTTCTAATCTGCCTGGCTTCCAGGGAGCGGGGGGTTTCGCTTCCCCGGAGCTGTGGTTTACAGGCTTGTGTTACCTGCGCTCTACAGTAGCGGATGCTCTCCGCTATATAAAACCTTCTTCTGGAGGATTTACAACCTGCCCGTAAAACACCCATTTCCCTCCCACAGCTGAAATCCAGAAAGGAAGACCTGCAGGGATGCTCTGCCTTCTCCTCAACCAGGAGAAGGGTCACTTCTTGCCCTACTTCATCCAGATCTGCCCACCCCCCTTGCACCCTGGCCTGGAGACAAAAAAACCCACATGCACACACTTTGCAAGATATGAGCAAACGCTGCACCCAGTAGAATTAATCTGAGCCTTGAAAAGAACATAGAGCTGGAAGAGGAAGTGGGGAAGAGTGGCACTTTTTCAACTTCCTCTCTCAACTCTTATGTACTATTCAAGGGTGGAAAATAGGACAATGTGTGTGCGTGTGTGGCATTTAGGGTGAGACTAGGATGCGGGTGGCACTGTGGGATAAACCACAGAGCCTAGGACTTGCCAATCAGAAGGTCGGCGGTTCAAATCCCCGCGACGGGGTGAGCTCCCGTTGCTCGGTCCCTGCTCCTGCCAACCTAGCCGTTCGAAAGCACCTCAAAGTGCAAGTAGATAAATAGGTACCACTCCAGCGGGAAGGTAAACGGTGTTTCTGTGCGCTGCTCTGATTCGCCAGAAGCGGCTTAGTCATGCTGGCCACATGACCTGGAAGCTGTACGCCGGCTCCCTCGAGATGAGCACTGCAACCCCAGAGTCGGCCACGCCTGGACCTAATGGTCAGGGGTCCCTTTACCTTTACCTTTTAGGACATGGAGGACCAGGGTTCAAATCCCCCACTCGGCCACAAAGCTCACTGGGCAAACTTGGGAGCTACTCTCTCAGCCTAGCCTGACCTCGTATGGTTGTTGGGAGGATAAAATGGAGAGGAGGGCTGCAGATGCCGCTTTGAGTTCCTTGGAGAAAAGTGGGATATAAATACAGGTTGTCTCCAGCTACATTCTACTCAGACCCATTGAAAGAAACGAACCCACATTCATTAACACCCCAAAGGGCCTCTTAAGTCCAGCACTCAAACGGATGCCTCCAGGAAGTCACAGTCCTCTTCCTTTTGTGACCTCCAGCGACTGGTATTCAGAGGCATCCTTATCTGATATAGAAAGTGTCAGGAGTTCAGCCTACACTCGAGTAGGACTCCCGCAGACACACATGTCCAACTGGCATGTTCTCTCCCTCCTGGACGATTGATCGGGAGCTTCATTAGCTTTCTTCAGCCCAAACATCATAGTGACCGATGCCAAGAGACACCGGCACACTTAGGGATCCGCAGAGTCTTCGCAGCTTGTGTAACAGACCTCAGCAACTCAGCATTTTGGCTAATCTACTTTATTTACATATAAACACACATGGAGCACTGCAACGTGGCTCCCTCTCTCTCTAGCATCAGACAGCAAAAAGAGAAAGAACAAAGGACAATAGTCCCACTTCATGGAACACAGTAACACAAACATCCTGTCTCCGTCACTTCCCACTCTGTGGAGTCAAAACATACACCATCATGTGATAGACAACAATCCCGTGACTGCAATCATAGATTAGGAATTCTAACAGAAAGTAGCCCCCAGCCATCATGGGTGGCTAGAAGCCTTCAGGAGCCCTATCTGCCTAGTCCCATTTTAAACCCATCTAATTCCATTATTTCAACTATGGGCTGTGTGAAGTCAGAAGAGCTGTTTAAGAACTGGGAGAATGAGATCCACAGGGGCAAACCCATTAAACCAGCAGCTGCAGTTTTTTGTACAGGGAGTCTCCGGAGGCAGCCCCAAGTATGACACACACAGCAGCAGTGTAACCCAGAAGCTAGCAAGCTGTGGATAACTGTGATTAAAAAGAAACAGCTGCAATTCACCCTAAAGTTTCTAGATGGCACCACCACCCAGGTCTCGGTAGCCTCAATGTTCAGGAACTGGCATCAGTCCCCCATTCTGTTCCTTAAGTATCTCCACCAACAAAGCATGAACTATTTATTTTTATTGACATTGAGAGAGGTTAGGGGGTCCAGGGCTTGGTCGTATGAAAAAAGCGTCTCTCCCTACATGTTAACGAACTGTGAAAAAGACTCTATGAATTGAAAGTGGAGATGCTGTGTGCATTCCCCCGTTTATTGGTAACACAAGAAAATCTTTTAATAAAAAACCTAATTAAAAAAAGTGTGAACTATAAAGAGACAGCCTTCTCCCCTTCTAAGTGGCTGGTGGGGGGAACTGGAGTGTAAAAATTTGTCCTGCACCTCTAACAAGATTTGGGGCAGACCACTACGGCGTCCCCATG